CCTTCCTTCCTTCCTTCCTTCCTTCCTTCCTTCCTTCCTTCCATCCATCCATCCATCCATCCATCTCTCCTCTCTCCTCCCTTCCATCAAAATCAATCTTCCTTCCTTCTTTCTTTCCTTGGTGAGGAGAACCTCAACCTTGCAGAAGACCAAACGCAGGTCTCCCTTGAGATCAATATCTCCTTGGTAAGCAGGAATCAGGGTTTTTTTCCCCCATGGGGAGGAAGAAGCAGATCATGTCTTCCTCTCTCTTTCAGCCCCCACGGTCAAGGAAGCCTATTTTTAGTCACAAGTTTTCCCCAATTTCTTATCAGTATGACTCAGATAAACCAAGTGTGTGTAAATACCCAGGACTGGGCACAGGACCAGAGGCTGTTCAGTTGGCTTTTGCCTCCCCACAGGACTGTTTCAAAGGTCAAGCCTGTTTGCCGGGTTTCAGATTGCAAGAGGCACCGAGCCAGGGGGCACGATGGGGCAGAGGAGCGCCCGCTTTCTGCTTGCTTTGGAAGCCTCAGATGCGTGAACCTTGGCCAAAGTGGACCTGGCAGGCTCTTGAGCCGCGCCAGGCGGCACAGCAGAGTGCCCCAAATGGGCAACAGGAGACGGTCTCGCCCGTTCCCTCCCTCCCAGCCCCCCGCGTGGGAAAAGAATAATAACAAAAGAATAGAAAGGTTCTGGAAGACACGCAGTGGTCCCTGGTTGTGCAAATGCACACAGCTGTCTTGTGCAACCTCCTGGAACGGCCCTCTTTGCAGCTCCTTGCAGAGGTGTCTGTGGGCAGAAAAGGCAGGGCAGAAAGAGGGGCCCTTGCACCCCCCCTCGCTCCCCTCTCGGGCTCCTCCGCATTCCTGTTTCTCCCACGCAACGTCCCACGTTACTTTCTGGGAGATCAACTACGCCAATAAAAATGAGGTGGGGGGGAGGGATTTTAATACGGCAAATTTCCTCCCCTCTCAAAGACAGGAGGAAAGCAGGGTGTGGTCAAAAAAGTCAAGATGGTGGTCAGGGTGGTGCAATTGTCGAACCTAGGATGCCCACCTTCTCTGCCATGGTACATGCCCTCTGGAACAGCCTCCCCCCATGGTGCCCCCCAATGATGGTCCTACAGTCATTGAAGACCTGGCTGTTCTCCTGGGCCTGGATGGGGGAGTGAGGGACCCCCTGCACCTGGGTCCCTGGTTTCCTTAGTGTACTGCATGTTTTTTTCTGGACCTACAGGCTTCCTTTTTGCCTTGTCTTAAAAAGTAAGAATCTGAAGGCTCCCAAGGTTGAAACACACTGTCCCACATGGTTGCGTATTTCCTAGGGGAGAAGAAGGTAGCAATGCCCCTCTTTTGCCAACTAGCAAGAGGGAATCTTTGAAGCGACATCCCCCTTCCTCCCAACCTGCAGGCAAGCAGTAAGATCCCCACTGTGGTTCCCACCCCGCTACAATTACCTGGAGGGATCCCAGGGCTGTGGAAAGCGTGGGTGGGGGAGGCTCTTTCCTGGCATCGACGAGGATCACCAACCCCTGGTTGTTGGAACGCTTCCTGCACGGTGGAATAAAACAAAGTCATAAAGACTCTCTCGAGCTGAGCTTGACTTCATGGACAGGTCTGTAGAGGCTCCTTGGTGGCGGTACAGAAGGGGTTTGCCCTGGGTTTCTCCTGGAATGGTTTTCCATCTTCCCACTCTAGCCATCAGCCCTGAGGTTTCCTAGTGGTCTCCCATCCAACTCCCGACTAGGAGCAAGTCTTAGTTTTTTGAGGCTAGCCAAGGCTGGGCAGGTGCTGCCCCCTGCTGTGGAGGAGGTGGAATAGGAGGCTGCTAAATTCTCTTGCAGGGAAGCTGTTGATCTCTGGTGGAGGCAGCGAGGGAGGGAGCTTAGTGCCTGGGGAGATCCTGGGGTCAAGCTGGCTTTGGGGCAACCCTTGCAATTCCAGGGGGAGAATCTTGGGAGTCCAGCCCAGGTGCCCCGAGGCCAAAGCTCTTCAGACTTGGCCAGGGGGCAGCTGGGAGGCAGCTGCATGCTGGGGATGGGTTTCAGGGGCAGCGAGGCTGTCCCCGAAGGTCGAGGAGAGGGTCCCTCTAGCTGGCCAGCCCACCTGCCCAGAGCACGGGAGCCCCCATGGATGTCCGTCCACTCACGTTCTCCCTAAGCAGGAAGCGGGGATCCTTCACGGGGAAAGGGAGGCTGTCCTGCCTGCTCGGCTGAAGGCTGACCTCTATCTCGAGGCCTTCAGAGAGGGGCTGGCGGTGGGCCTTTGGGCATGGGCATCACGTGCCCCACCAGGGACATCCCGTTGGGTGGCAGAATGAGAGAAGGAAGGCGCTTCCTTGGGAACGTAGGGAGCCTTCGCTCGCCCTGGGAACTGGCATGCGGAGGGGCGAGTGGGCTGCCGATGAGGCCCCCGGTTGGCGTCCCCCCACCCGCATGGAGGATGGTGAAGGGATCCCAGCTGCCTTGCCGTGCCTTGCCTCCCAGCATCTGGGCCTCTTTTTCTCTCGCAGCAAGGGAGGGCCCAAAGGGCGCAGGGAGGCTCCCTTACCTGGCCAGGGAGCAAAGGCAGAGCAGAAGCCGTGCCACCTCTTTGGCTGAGCACCAAGCGTCCTGCCAGCCTCGCCCGCTTTGGGGAATTTCGACCAGGGGCCTCCCGAGCTTATCCACGCTGCCTGAAGTTGCAGAAGAAGTCAAGGCAAACCCCATATTAGTCGGATGGAACTCTGTACTTCCACACCCACCCTCCGGGCCCTCCCGGTTTACCTGCCTCTGTAATTTCATTCCCCTTTCGAAGGGGAAGTACAGGAGGGATGAGCTTGGAGGTGGCGCTTTGTTTCGAAAGAAGCTCCGGGAAAGCATCTTTAATGCCGCTGCGCCCGGCTTGCAAGGGTGGGCTGAGGCGGGCAAAGGGGCACCAAGCACCTTGCTTAGGCTGGCCAGATGGCTCATCGTCTTGAGGAGGACCGCGCAGTCTCAGCCACGCCACAGGCCTTGGCATGCAAACATTTATCCCCCAAGGGGCGACTTCCCCTCCACTCTATATCTGCTTTTATTCTGGAATATCCGGCGAGAGAGGTTGCAGGCTGAGGGTCTACTCTGCCCAAAGCTCTCAGGGATAAGCTCTCTGGCTACAAACGAAGCTGCACAAGCCGTGGGATTCCCGCAGGAAAACACCTTTCAGGGGGCCCTTTGGTTGTCTCCGTTCAGAGTACCTGGCAGACACGCGATGCCAGAAGACAGAAGCTCAGAGGCGAGCAGTTCCCACTGGACCGGCTCGGAAGGACTCGACCCCGGAAGGAGCAACTCGCCCAGCAGGGCGGCTGTGCTGGGGGCGGCTGCAGCGGCGGCGTCCAGGTTTGGGGGGCTCGGGACTTCCCCGAGCACTACTTCGGTCTGACTGGACCCTGGGGAGGGAAGGGAGGGAAGGGGGGAAGACATGGGAGGGGAGAACTGCAGAGCTGGAAGGGCCCAAAGGCTCCCCACCTGGCCCCTGCTCCCCTTGGCCCCTGCCGGCCCGAATGACCCATTTAAGGGGAGCCCATCCGTTCCACCATGCCATCATAACTGGAAAATTGTCAGGACAACTCGGAACGGTCCGGCTTTTTGCTGCTCTGGGGAAGGACCAGCAGGTGGAAATGGCGGCGCAGGGAGGGGGGCCCCCCAGGAGCCACACCCGAAGAGGGGGCCGCTCTTCTCGTTGCCGGGTCCCAGGGCTGAGGATCGGCCGGCACCCGCGAGCCGAGTCAGCTCAGGGCAGAAGTGAGATTGGGACGGAGGTTACGGAGCCAAGGGGAAAGCCGCTCTTCGACCCCAGTTTATTTTTCAAAGTTGGCACACGAACCATCGTGACCCTGTGAGTGAAGCCCCGTCAGACTTTGGAGGAACTTTCCCAAGTTAGCTGTGACCTTGGCGGTCGGGATCAGAACTCCCAGAGAGCCCCTCGGGTTGGTGTGGCTGGGCCTCCAGGACCCCCAGGACCCCTCTTTTTCCACTTTCTCCTTTGCCTCCCCCCCAGGAGCCCCCTCTAATTCTGCCTGAAGGAGTCCATGGGGTGCCGTTCTCCCCTTTCCCCCACAGCCTCATGCCAAGGCAGCCCTGCCTGAGTGTGATGGAATGGAATTACGAAGGCCAAGCTCAGAGAGATAAACATTTTCTTAGATCGCCAGAAGAGCGTGGGAGGAACAAGAGGATGAGACTGGCACCTCCCTGAGGAATTCACACTGTTGTGGCTGGGTGAGGTTGGAGGCGGGGTTTCAGGCTGGGGAGATTCTTGCTAG